CCTCCTTAGCTCCCCTGAGAATTCTTAGGTACTTACTTGGATCGGCCATGATTCTCCATTCACAATTCCATCACCACCCTGCATGCCACTTCTAAAATAAAAAAGCATAATATGCTAATTAGACCGGACATCCTTCTGGACGTCCTTCTTTCCAGACAAAGCCAGAGCGGGTGGGGGCTGTGGCAGAGGCGGCAGAGGGCCCTGGCTATGGCAGCAGCGGGCGGGGGCTGGGGCCAAGTCCCTTGCATCGGGCCTCTAGTTGTCATATGATCTGTATTGATGAGTCTGCCTTCCTGTGTAGACCACAAACTCTTAAAAATTTTTAAATTTTATTTTTAAATCACAGTTTACATTCAATATTATTTTGGTTTAGTTTCAGGTGAAAAGGCAATCAGTTTTGAAGTCCCAGCACTTAGTGTAGTGCATGGTGTGTTGAAGATGATTGGTAAATGTTAGTCGAATAAAACAATGAATGAACGCACTGAGTCAAGTTTTTCGTAAGAACAGTTATTAAAACAACAGTGAGCTCAAAATTATACTCCCTGACAAATCCCTGAAGTAAAGCTTGTCCATTTAGTTAGTTAAGTGCCGAGCCACAGGCTTTCCCAATCAGCCCAACTAGGGAAGAGCCTTTAATGAGATGGGAGGCGCTTCCCTGCTCACCTGGCACAGTGGGTCCAGAGGAGCGGAGGGTCATGACAGGGTTTTCTTAAAACAGCAGCAGCAACAACAAAGCATTTTGGTTGCTCCAACACATGGTTGAATGTCAAGACAGTATAATTTTAATTGTCAAGAGCCCACTGGTTTCATAATCCAGTTATATTCTAAAAGAAGATTTAGGGCACCCACATAGGGCTGCCAACTTTTTACTTGTTGAACAAAGACAATAAAAAACAATCTTGTTATGCCGTCAATTCGTTAAATAAAAACCCTCAAAGGGGAATGCTTTGAATTAAACACATTTAGCTGTAGGAAAAATGATCTCCATTGTCTTCATTTTGCTGGGACCCAGAGCAATTTTTTTGAGGAGTTTGCAGTTACTGTTGGGAATGCCTTTAACAACCTGCAAGAGCAGTGAGCTCAGAAAACACCGGCACTGACAGGCAGGTCTGGGGAGGAGCCATCTCCATGAGGGAAGTCTGGGTCAGGAGGGTCCAGCTGGTGGGCAACCTGGATTTGCAATCTGCCCCCTGAAGAAAGTTTCTCCAGCAAAATGGTCAAAAGCAAACGATAGGGTATATATTCATACCTCAAAGTTTGTTACTTGAACTAAACATTGCATTTTCAATTTATAAATACAAGGTTGGCCTGTATTTGTTTGGTATTTATGCTGCGTGTTCATTTGGAAATGGTACTTCTCAATCCTTCAGCAATTGTTTCTCTCCAAAGTGAGCAACCTCATTCTCAGGAAGAGGGTTTGCCTCTCAGAGGGAAGAAGGCAGGAGCAGTGAATGAGGGAGCTTTTGTCCTAGAATTTAGACATACTAGTAAAACTGGTTCAGTTTACAAATCAGTGAACAGAAGTCACTAACATGGAAGCTGAAACTTTGGCTTCTCTAAGGAGAAAAATATAAATTTCTCTTAAAATAATTTGAGCAACAGGATAAAACAATCAAATTTTCAACATGCCTAATCTCTCTGGGTCACTCTGGGCATTGATTTGAACAGCAAATATCTAAGTGGGTGAAATCTGCTCTTCTTTAATTCAATTAGGTTGACACAAATGAACAGCTGAGAAGAATAGCCCAAATGAGGATTGTTGAATATGACTACAAACCTGAGTTTGCATCTGCAATGGGAATAAACACTGCCCATCAAACAGGTACACACACAAGTTCCCTTTTTAATTTTGTATTGTCTCCTATGAAAATTTTAATTCCAAATTATTTTTTAAATATATTTCTATTGATTTCAGAGAGATAGAAACTTCAATGATGTGAATCATTGATTGGCTGCCTCCTGCACGCCCCCTACTGGGGATCTAGCCCATAACTAGGACATGTGCCCTGACCAGGAATCAATCCGTGACCTCCTGGCTCATAGGTTGATACTCAACCACTTAGGCACACTGGCCAGGCTTAATTCCAAATTCTTTAACTGGAGGTTGTGTGCTACGGCATTTGAAAATACAGTGGGGCCTTGACTTACGAGTTTAATTCGTTCTGAGACCGAGCTCATTAAGGAGCTCGTTAAGGACTCGTTAACTCAAATAACTCTATCAACTCAATGCAAAAAATCAGCCGAGAGACAGCTGGTATCTCAAAAAACTCGTTAGTCGGGACACTCATAAGTCAAGGCCCCACTGTATCCTATTGGTCTAATTCTTCCTCTGTGAAACCCGTAATCACTAGAACAGGAAAGCTTAAAGAAATTCCTGTTGTCTTTATTCAATACCCATCTCATTCCTGAACCCCAAGGTACTGGGGGAGTATTTTCAATATACTGTTTCTTTTCACTGGCATCCTCTCACTCATGTGATGAGGGTTGAGGGGGCAGATGGCAGCTCAAACTGTTTGAGGGCAATCCTGGGATGGAGAGAGAAAATGGCATAGTAGACAGGTCTAGGTTAGAGAAGGGCCAAAGTGGTGTTTATATTCCAATCTAGAATCCTAAAGAACAGATTAGGAGGCAAGTCCTTCTGCAGGAAAAGAAAACAAACTAACAAAACAAACAACCCCCTCCCCAAAACAAAACAAAAAACAAGATAATATCCCACCCTTGCTTCTATGTGAAGAAATTTTAAGGTATTTACTCACCCCTTCCAACATTTGGCATCGAGTCTCAAGGAAAAGTAAAGAAAAGGCACTCCCACTTAATCCTATAGTGATGCATGGCCCAAAATTCCTTCTTTGCTTCAAATGTTTGTAGATCAAAGCAAAAGCTGAGAAGGGATAAGCATCTATTTGCCAAGACTTCCCCTGTGGCCTGTGGCTGTCGGTGTTCCTTTCTGATGTAGGCCTGGGAGGATTTTCTCCAGAAAGGTCTTTCCCTGACTCAACCTGTTGGAGTGTTTTGTGTCTAGGAATGATTGCCCAGGAGGTGCAAGAGGTCCTGCCCAGAGCCGTGAGAGAGGTTGGTGATGTCACCTGTGAAAACGGAGAGACGCTGGAGAACTTCCTCATGCTCGACAAGGTAAGCACAGAATAGATACCTGCCTCTAGAGCTATAACCTGAGGGAACCCTCTTCTGTGACATCACAGTGCGCGAAACATCTACTCAGGAAACAGGAGAGTAGGAAGAATTCTTCCCCCACCTGGGGAGTAAGTTGGTGTCAATTATCCCACACCAGTCATAGGCACCCCAACCAAGTCCCAGAGGCAAAAAGAAAAAGGAATATAACCGGCCCTGAGAAAATCCACTTAAAACAAGGCCTGAAATCACAAGAAATAGTGACACTTGGATTAGACTTTGTCTTGAAAAATGGAACTAAAACTCACGAAAGTCACTTATCTCACATAGCATTGAAGTTATCATTAAAACAATGTGCTCCTCCTTCGAGTGGCGGGAGTGTTAAGTGTTGATTTTTTTTTAGCACAGTTTTTCAACAAAATTGTATGTGTTTGACTTCCCGGCACAGTCATAAAGTGGGTCATTTTTACAAAGATGTTCATGAGCCTCCTCATTTTCTCCAGGAGCCTGTCTTCATTCCCAGATATTCACAGCGTTATCTTTTGAGGGAATGTGACCATGCTTGTGGATTCACTCCTCTTCCCTTGTTCAGGGGTCCAGGGCTGCCTTTCCCCTGGCTGATCACGTCTGTTAATTCTGTGCAATCCCGCATCTTCTACAAACTTTGCCAATTCACTCGGCTGCTGGTTAGCTTTATGTTGCATTATTATCTTTGACTAGAGGCCTGGTGCACAAAAATTTGTGCACTCGGGGCGGGGTGGTCCCCCAGCCCGGCCTGTGCCCTCTCGCAGTCTGGGACCCCTCGGAAGATAACGACCTGCTGGCTTAGGCCTGCTCCCGGGTGGCAGAGGGCAGGCCAAATCCCTAAGTGCAGCCCCTGGTCAGGCTCAGAGCAGGGCCGATTGGGGAGTTGGGGCGCTGCCCCGTCATGCACAGAGCAGGGCGGATCGGGAGGTTGCGATGCCACCCTCAGTCACGCTCAGGGTAGGGCCGATTGGGGGGTTGGGGCACCGCCCCCTGTCACACTCAAGGCAGGGTCGATGGGGAGGTTGTGGCGCCACCCCCTGTCATGCACAGAGCAGGGCCGATCAGGGGGTTGGGGCGCTGCCCCCTGTCACTCACAGAGCAGGGCCAATCAGGGGGTTGGGGTGCTGCCCCCTGTCACAGAGCAGGGCCGATCAGGGGGTTGGGGCGCTGCCCCCTGTCACACACAGAGCAGGGCCTATAAGGGGGTTGGGGCATTGCCCCCTGTCACTCACAGAGCAGGGCCCATCAGGGGGGTTGGGGTTCCGTACCCTGTCACACACACAGCAGGGCCGATCAGGGGGTTGAGGAGCTCCCCCCTGTCACTCACAGAGTAGGGCCGATAGGGGAGTTGGGGCACCGCCCCCTGTCACACACAGAGCAGGGCCCATCAGGAGGTTGGGGCACCGCCACTGTCACACTCAGGGCAAGGCCAATGGGGAGGTTATGGCTCTACCCTGTCACACACAGAGCAGGGCCCGTGGGGGGGGGTGGAGTCCTGCACCCTGTCAAACACAGAGCCGCAGGGCAATCAGGGGATTGGGGAGCTCTCCCCTATCAGGCACAGAGCAGGGCTGATCAGGGGGTTGGGGCACCTTCTCCTGTCAGGAACAGAGCAGGGCGGATAGGGAGGTTGTGGCCCCGCCTCCCTGTCACACACAGAGCCGCAGGGCGATCAGGGGATTGGGGAGCTTTCCCCTATCAGGCACAGAGCAGGGCTGATCAGGGGGTTGGGGCGCCTTCCCCTGTCAGGAACAGAGCAGGGCGGATAGAGAGGTTGTGGCCCCGCCCCCTGTCACACACAGAGCTGCAGGGCGATCAGGGGGGTTTGGGCACTGCCCCCTGTCACGCTGATCCCGGTGCCCGGGAGCCTCGCTGCTCCGCTGATCCCGGTGCTGGGAGGCATATTACCCTGTTACTATATAGCATAGAGGCCTGGTGCACTGGTGGGGGCTGGCTGGTTTGCCCTGAAGGGTGTCCTGGATCAGGGTGGGGGTCCCCACTGGGGTGCCTGGCCAGGCTGGCTGAGGGGCTGAGGGCTGTTTTCCGGCTGGCAGGTGACTAAAAGCTCCCAACTGCTCCTTGTTTTCTTTTATTTTTTTATTCTGGGCCAGCTTTAGCTCTGAGGCCTCGCTGCTGAAAACATCGATACAATGTTGCGGTCCGGGGCTGACTGACAGCCGGTTTAGCTTCTTATTTGCAACATAGTACATAGTTGCTTAGAGTTGCAGCTCAGAGGCTGGCAAGTTAGGCGGGGAACGTTGGAGTCTGCAGTCCCTGGAGCAAGCAAGCCTCGTGTTCGCTTCCAGCTGCCTGGCTGACAGTTAATTTGCATAAGGATATGCTGATTAGCCAATGGGAAGGGTAGCGGTCGTACGCTAATTACCATGTTTCTCTTTTATTAGTGTAGATGCTGGGAGGGGAGACTGATTGACAGGGGGATTTTATAGTCATTGGGAGAGATGTTTGAGCAAGACAATTTCAAAGTACAGAAGAGTCAGTGGGGGATCTGACCAGATTCTGATTCAGCACGAATGGGGTGTGACCCGAGGTCCTTCTCACTGGCCTCCAGGTGATGGCACTTGCCCCAGCCCTGCTGGTCAGCAGGCCGCATTGGAGTAGCAAGCTAGAAGGTGCATTTTCATGGTAGGCCCTTCCATAGTCTTCTGTCTGCAAGTTCTCAGACAGCAAATACTTAGATAATGGGATCTGGATGGCCTGCTCAACCTGGGCTGCGAGGGCTGAGTGGCAGAAGCTGGTTTCCTCCCTCCTGCTTCCCAGGATCACGTCTTCAATAAAATAAAAATTTTTTTGTCTCTCTCAAACCTGGACTATCACTTCACTTGAGAGGTGTATCATGAGAAATTTATTTCTGTAAAGTACTGAAGTTTTCAAATAACTTACTTAAATCTTTTATATTTACTTAAAATATAAACTAGATCCGCTAGTATTCATATAATAAAGTCACCTCACTCTTACATCTTCATAAGCTTCCTGGGCTGAGAGAAGAGAGTAGGCGCAGCTGCCAGTCTCAGGATACAGCCTTGGGAGTGTGCCACCAGGCCGCCAAGGTGGGCTCTTGGGGTTACTTGTCAGGTAATAGCTATATCAGTCTGGCTGTGACCCTCCCCTACAACATGCAGCAAAGAGATTTCTGTGTTTTCAATGTAGGTAATGTCTGCCCGGGGCCTTATGACTCTCATTGTTCAGTAAAATAATTAGTTCTCCACCTGGCCCCGTATCTTCCCATTCCCAGTAGGGTTGAATGGGGACAGTTGGGAATATTAGCAACAGGAGTTCCAAGGGCCATTCTTCACTTCCCCCAGGAGAGGCTACAACCCAAGTTCATTCCTAAGAAGGCAAGTGCAGACCCTGGGAAAGTAGGGGGAGGCATTCTTGTTCCAGACAGCCGGGCTCATTTGTCACCTGAAGAGCAAACCACGCCCAGGCAGAAACAAGTTGGGGATATGTGTCTCTGTCCTAAAGACTCATCAGCTGTATCTCAGCACCAAGACCTCCCCTGGCCACCTTATCTGAAGTCTCCACCTCACTTGGGTTCACTTTGTGAGACTCAGGGCCACTGTGAGGGTGTGTCATGTCCTTTTAGTAATTAGAAAAAGGTACTCCCTCTGGCTGCTGGTGGGTATATGAGTGTTTACATTTTCTTAAAATTTTCTGTATGCTGGATAATCTATGTATATAAAAGCCTAAGTGACCATTCGACTGTTTGACCGATAGCTATGATGCACACTGACCACTAAGGGGGCAGATGCTCAATGCATAGGCATGGAAACATGGAACAGACTAATGAATCTCAGAGGGAGTGGGGGCGGGAGGAGGACGGGAAGAGATTAATCAAAGATCTTACACGCATACTAGAGGCCCTCAGCCTGGCCTGCGGGGATCAGGCCAAAACCAACAGTCCTACATCCCCCGAGGGGTCCCGGATTGCGAGAGGGTGCAGGCCAGGCCGAGGGACCCCACCAGTGAACGAATCCGTGCACCGGGCCTCTAGTTTTTATAATAAATGTTGGGAAAAGAAGTCATTGTTCAGACACTTAAAACTGCAATTTAAATATGGTGTCAGCAGGTGGTGGCAATGCTTTGTCAATCAGATAGGCCTGTGGACTAGGACCTGGAATTTCACAAAATAGCTGAATTTATTTATTTTTTATTTTTTTTTTCAAACATACTTTTATTGATTCTCCACAGAGAGGAAGGGAGAGAGACAGAGAGCCAGAAACATCGATGAGAGAGAAACATCGATCAGCTGCCTCCTGCACATCCCCCACTGGGGATGTGCCCGCAACCAAGGCACATGCCCCCGACCGGAATCGAACCCGGGACCCTTCCATCCGCAGGCCGACGCTCCATCCGCTGAGCCAAACCGGTTTCGGCAAAATAGCTGAATTTATGCCAAAGTTTTCAAAGAGAATATTTTCGAGTAATCTTTAAAGAAGTAAAGTCTTTAAGTATAATTCAGTTCCTTTCTGATCAATGCTAACTTCACTTGATCTGTGAAGCCTGACACCTAGGTCAGCGTCACTTCCTCCCAGTGAGTAGACATAGCTTGCTTGGACTTCACCTGCAAAGCACTGGACTCTGACTTGGCTGTTCAGTGCACCACTGCACCTTCCAGCTACTCACACTGAGCAGAGAGCCAAAGAGTAAAGAAACTTTCTACAAGAGTGGTGTCTCTCAAGGTGCAAAATCCCCTTCATTCTTCCCCCAGAGGATTTGTCTTTATTGTTGAAGCTAGAGCGAACATACCAGAGTCCTCATTTTACTGCTCTTTTACTTTATTGCGTTCCCCAGCCCACCCCTTATCCTCATCTCCTCTTTCACTCAACCCTCCACAGCAATGGAGCCACTCTAATGGGCTTCATATATACCCTTAGATGTCTGGGCTTTCTGGAATATGATTCAAATGTCTTTGAATTATGAACTTCTGCTCATAGTCGGATGCATGGAATTCCTTGGCTTGTGTCTTTTCCTTCTCCTTCTCAAGTGTGGATCCCTTGACCACAACTATGCAGCTATGAGTGTTCTCTGGGTGGGAGGTTTTCTATGGAAAACGTGCCATAGAGTTGGTCAGTTCTAACTCGTAACAGCAGCGCACGAGGCTTACTGTTTCTCTATATACTCAACACCTGACATTACCAGACTTTCTAAATTTTGCAATCTGATTGGGGTAAAGTGATATTGTACTTTTAAAATTTGCCTTTCTCTGACAAGTAATAAGGCTGTGCATTTCTTTCTTATATTAGCTACTGAGATTTCTCCTGTGAATTGTTGGGCCCAGTTTTATATTCAGTTGCCAGTCTTTCTCAGGATGAGACTATAACTTTCCACTTGAGTCCACTTTATTCCTTCCCAGGGCTCTCAAAAATAAAACTAATGGGCCAAAGCTGTAGCAATGCCTTAAGACAGGGACAATTATCTCCTATTTCAGTGCCTTGTTGGCTTCCTTCCTAGTGCTAATTACAACTTAAAACGATATTATTTACTTGTGGTTTACTTGTTGTTGGCCAGTTTTCCCCACTAGAAAATGTGCTCTATGAGACCCTTTCTGCCTTATCTAATAGTTTTATCTAATAGTGCACCTAGAAAAATGGTCAGACACCATAGCCGCTTGATAAAGAACTATTGATTCTGTCCATTAATTGAATATTAAGCGACATGTGCCAGGTATTTAGTTGGCCCTGGGGAGTCACAAGACACAGTGATTGCTGTCAAAAGGAGCTCACACCTCACCCAGGGAAGACAAGAAATCAAAGAATTGCAACAAACTGTGACATGTGCTAGTTCAACCGGAAACTTGTCTCAGTGGAAGGACTCAAGCACTTCCACAGAAAAGTCCACCCAAACAGAGATAAATAAAGCCAGGATTCTACAGCACACATAAGGCGACCATGAAACATCATTATAAACAGTTTTATAAAGCTGTGCTCTCCCCATGTAAAGCAGAGGTCAAAACACAAACCCAGGGAAATGAACCCAGGAATATGCAAACCGCTCCTCCGGGGGCCTGGTAGACATTCAGCTGGAGGGCTGAGCTTCCACACCGTCTCAGCAGCCTGCTTTTCTGGTTTGGAGATTCTGTTTTCTTAAGTCCATGTCAGGGCCTGGAGAACTACCCACAAAACAAACTCCTGGACAAAGATCTAAAGCCGAGTTTATCCAAAGCCCAAACAATTGTCAGACACACCCATTGGCTGCAGACAGTGTTTCTCCCTTTGGCAATCATTTTCATAATGCTCAATTACAGGCTGTTTTATTCCCATGATCTGATTATAAAATGTCAGTCCATGCAACATCAGATGCCGCAAGGAGAGATTTTCAAGTCTGTGACTCTCACTGGGAAAGAAATAAGAGCCTATTTCAACTTCTCCCAGCGTTCTTTGCCACCAGGCTTAGGCACCCCTTCTCAGTGTCATTGACCGAGGGAGGACAAGCTGTAGTTCCTGAAGACAGGAGATCGATTGCACTGCCTGGCTGCTCCCCAGGGCTGTGGGCTCACTTACTCTCAGACCTACACGTGACCTGGGAGCTTGCAGTTGTGGTCTGCAGGGTCCCAGGGCTTCCTAGCGAGTGAGGGGGACTGAAGGGGCATCCATCCATCTCTCTCCTGAGCCGGTCTCCTCCCAAAGGGGAAAGGACCTAACCAGAGTGGAAACCAGTTTGCTGAGTACAAATGAACCACTATCCCACTGCCCTGGGAACTTTCAACACTAGTGTTTCTTTGCTTAATTCACCTGCCTTGTCATGGGCGTTTCCTAACACGGGGATTTGGACCTTTGTCTCCTTATTTTCTGAGAGAAACCTTGGATAAAAAAAAACAAATAAACTGGAAGTTGGTCACTCTCTTCAGTCTCATTAGAGAACAATGCTACGGCCTCTCAATGCCTCACAGCGTGAACTGCCCTTGTAAGAATACACAGTGGGGCCTTGACTTACGAGTGTCCTGATTAAACGAGTTTTTTGAGATACCAGCTGTCTCTCGGCTGATTTTTTGCATTGAGTTGACAGAGTAATTTGAGTTAACGAGCTCCTTAACGAGCTCGGTCTCGGAACGAATTAAACTCGTAAGTCAAGGCCCCACTGTATTCATTTATTTAGTCAGCAAATATATACTGAGTTCCTGTCTGTGCTGGAGCATCGGCAGTGGACACGACGTGGGGCCCAGTCGCTGTGTGTTTGTAGCAAAGGCAAATCTGACACTGAGTGTAAGGCCGGTGGGAGGAGGAGGGGGAGGGCGGGAGGTTCAGGCGAAGGGAGAAGCCTGTGTGGGTTCCAGAGACGAGACAGACCAGAACATGTTCTGTGAAGGGCAAAGGGTTCAGTATGACGGGAGCCCAGAGTGAGAAGGTGGCGATGGTGAGAGACGAAGCTTCCATGAGGGGCCCGCTCTAAGCTAGGGAACAGCTCTCATTTCACAAAGGCCTCCCTGTTGTTGGCCTGGGCACGTGTCCTTTTCACACTGCCCTGCGTGTCCTTTCGGAAAACGTGCGCACGCTGTGCCTATGTACCCTCACCCCAAAGCCAGTCGCAACCAGTGGGTAGAAGGTTCTTGTGCAATCGATTTGAAGCAGTTGCCACTTCCCCCGCAAAGTCTCATGAGCAGTGTTGGTGGCAAGCCAGTTTCATCGTTTTTGCATCACAGCTGGAAAGTTACATTTCTGCTGAGGTCGTGGGTCCCGTTTAAAATGGTCAGTAATGCCCTGGCCGGTGTGGCTCAGTTGGTTGAGTGTCCTCCTATGCTCCGAAAGGTTGCCAGTCTAATTCCCGGTTCAGGGCACATGCCCGAATTTTGGATTTTGGGCTTGATCCCTGCTAGGGGGCGTGCAGGAGGCAGCCAATCAATGATTCTCTTTCATCATTGATGTTTCTATCTCTCCCTTTCCATTTCTCTCTCTCTAAAAATCAATTTAAAAAATCTTAAAAAAAGAAAATTGTCAATAATAAGGGGACAGAGTTGATTAATTAAATTAGGTTCAATTAGAAAATAGTTTTTAACCAATAATGGGCATCAGTTGGGAAAGCTTTTCAAAATGTCTCAGCCATATGCCCATCTCATGAATACAAACAAGCCTCTATGCGGCACCTGGGTGTGTGTATTTAGAAAGAGTCCCTCAGGCATCTGGGTGCACATGGTGGTTAAAATGAACTCACAAAGATCATTCACTTGCATGGAAAAGGACATTTTCAGAAAATAAGTTATTTTTTGAGCATATTTATACAGCAGTGGGGAAAATAGGTTTACAGTTTTCATACAAACAAGTAATAAATAATTATATAAGAATAAACTGTTTCACATACTTACAACTATAAATCTACTTTTGCCCACTCTGTCTTGGCTCCACCATGACGACAGAGGACAGAAGTCAGAGCATTTTAGTAAGAGTCAGTCCCCAGAACACGTCCTAGAAAATTAGTTTTGGTAATTTTCCACTGGATCCATAATGTTAGAGCCTTCATTATAATTAGGGAGGGCCGAGTAAATTCCCTCTCCACTTTTATTTCCTCCTAAATAGGAAAGAAAGAACATGAATTATTTCTGGCCTACTGGATCCACTTAGTGCCAGCAAATTTGAGTTGGAGGAATCAGAGCTGGCTTGTTATCATTAGTGACAAGTAACTGGACAAGGCAGCCGTTGCTCTTACCATGTGCGGCAGCATTGAAAGTCCTGGGGAGACGCTGCAGGACCATCATGCCGTGGTTTAGAGGGGACGTTAGCATCCTGCTCCATGATCTGCTTTGGTTGGGCTAAATCGCAATTGAATGTATCAAGGAAACATTTTTTAAAAAAGAAGAAACAAGTTGCCAGTAAAAATAAAAATATACAGGGTGTCCCCAACAATGTATGCAGACTTTAACAGCTGATAACTCAATTTCAAAAATGAAATATATTTTAATAAACCCTGTCTATAAATATTCAAAGTGTGTGTATACATTTTGGGGGGGACACATTATATATGTGGTATGGTAGTGCCAGTGGGGACGTAGAGAAGTTGGGTAGATTCAGGAGATTTAGGCTGTTGAGCCTCCAGCCCCCCCCCGATGGACCACCTTGGGGAACCCAAGTGGTTTGGGGGTGGGATCCGTGGGGGAATGGGGTTTTGGGGGGGGGGGGGGGCGGGAATCAGACGCCATGGCTGGGAACCTGATTTGGATTTGAGGGTGGACATCAACTGACCATCTGATCCACTAAATAAGATAGTTATCATTATAGCACAAAGCTTTCTGCAATGTGAACATAGGAAATAGTGAAATGACATTTACTATGATTTATAACTATAGAATGTTATTCTTATCTTCACAATTTTTGCCTTATACTTATTAAAACAAATTTAGAAGTAAAGGAACATCTATACTAGAGTTAGAACTTTTAGAAGAGCTTTTGTCTGGAGATTTTTTTTTTTTGGGTTGGTTCATGTTTTGTGATTTATTTATTTCTAACATTTTTAATAAAAAATTTCAAGCATATACAAAAGAGAATATTGACGAAACCCATGTATACTAGTATACGTCACCCATTTCACAGTTATCAATTCATGTCCAATCTTATTTTTTTTAAATAAAGTATCCTCCCTCACAACTGAATTGAGAAATAATTGGCACATAACACTGTTTAAAGTATACAACATGATTACTTGATACACACACATATTGCAAAATTATTACTCACAGCAAGTTACATATGCATGCCCTCACATAATGACCTTTTTGGTGTGTATGGTGAGAACATTTAAGATTTACTCTGTTGGAAAGAAAAAGTTTCTCCTCCATCCTTATAGATTCTTATGTCTGGTTTAAGAATTAAATTGACATGGGGCAGATAACCAAGGAAAACCCAAGTTGAATTTTGTACATATTGGGGCTCCATAAGAAAATGAGGGCCCAGAGGCAATCCAGCAATTGAGGCTTATATGCCATCCAGAGCTCAGGGGAAGGGGCTGGGAGTCTGAGACTTCCAAGGGGAGGAAGGCAATTTACATGGTGAAGAAACAAATGTTTGATAAACAAATATTTGCTATCCCAAGTGGAGACAATGAGACACAGAGAGGACTTTGAACAAGCAGGATTGCTGAGTTCATGTCCCCACCCCTGCCCTCTAGTCACCACACCGGGATCGTATTCTTCAGAGTAATCTAGGGTGATAGCTTCCTGAAACAGGACCTCTATCTAAATTGTTTTAGGCAGTGAAGGGGGAGGTAGAAAGCTCTTCCTAAGTCTTTTGTTTCTTGAAAAAAAATAATTAGCCAAAATAACCTTTATGCCAATGAGACATATTTTGGGGTGGCAAAGTCCTGCTCCCCTATAACTCTCCTAGCAATGATCAAGTATATAATACAGTGCTGTTCACTGTTGTAGTCACCATGCTGCACATTAGATCCCCAGAACTTACTCATCTCAAACTGGGTGTGAGTGCATACTGTATATATTTACCACTGTAATATCCTCTTGATGAATCAATTCCTTTCTCATTATATGATGACCTTCTTTGTCTCTTGTTAGTTTTTTACTTAAATTCTATTTTATCTGATATAGTTATAGCCATGCCTGCTCCCTTTTGGTTTCCATTAGTAT